ATGTACAAAAGATACACCAACCAAGATACAATTGATCCCAACATAGACAAGCACCCAGAATAATAATAGTATACAGGGTGGTCCGAATTGTATTCAGGAAACATCTGCAGATAAAAATAATTATAAGTTCTTATAAAGTAATGTGTAGAACAATTGTTATTTCTTTTTTTTTTCAAATAATTTCTGAACTATAGTCGATATTTCGATAAAAATTGAATTGAATGAAATTGTTTTTTTGACATGAGGAATTTTATTTCGATGACAGTGTGACTTGTACTTGTAGGACTTGTAGGAGGAACCACCTACATGTTTTTTAACTGTTTTAAAGAGTAATAACTTTTCGTCCATACCTGTATAAAATTAACGAGTGAAAAATATACATTTCCGATATTTTTACGCAAATAGTAAATATATCCGCAGCTCTGCTAAAACGATAAATAATGTGAAAAAACGAGTCTTAGAAGTCTGCGAAACGCAAAAGAAAAAGTAAACTAATGCGCAAATGTACCATCCCAACGGAGAAAGTCAATAAAAGTCGTTAATTCCGTCCCATATGGTTTATGTTACTACTAGCAACCGCTAACGACTAACTTCCACCGCGATCTGTCTTATAATTTAATTGTCAGCCTCCGGTCACGGCAGCGCGATACCATACGCACGGTATTATAATTTATCACTTAAAAAGGCCGGTATAAATTATACTTTTTACGTGAAATAGAAAAGTTTACTCTTAATTATGTAAATTAGTAGCTGGCAGTGCTATGTTTCAGTTTTATATACAGGGTGATCACCTAATTTAATACATAATGATTCATATTAGGATTCCATCAATCCATAATCTTTTTTGAATATGATTTTATTTTATTTTTTATAAAATATGCAGGAAATTTTTATAGCTTAGTATATGTATTTTTAAATGGAACAATATACCATCCTGGACACTACATCTGCATGGTCTGTATTTTAAAGCATGCGACAGTTAACAGACAGAAAGAGAGAGAGAGACAAAATAAAAAGCGGCATACAGTGTTGCCAGTTTTTACGTATACGCGTGGAGGAATATGTGTGTGGAAAAAATTAACTATTTTAAAAGCTTTCATATACCGGATGCGTCTCAAAAGTGGCTCACGCCTATAACTTTTTTTATTTTTTCACTGAAAGATTTTGTATGTTAGTATATAACATAAATTAGAATTGATTGACGTACTCAGTTGTTTTTGGTCACTTCCTGTTTCACCGGAACTGATTACAACTTTTGATTTTTAAATGGCACCGTCGTTATTTTGTTATTTTATTCGATAGATAATGACACTCTGAATAGAATGAGATATCATATGTCAACTTTTGACATTTTCGAATATGGATTATTTGAAATTGCAACATGCGATTTATTAACGACCATTTGACTCGAAATACCAAGTGTGTGGTACGAAATTGTTCGAAAAAAAATGCTTTTTCTAAATATGCTAATGAGGTACCCTCGTTCCAAGATTGTCAAAAATTGAGATTGAGAAATGATTAAAAATACGATTTGGGCATCTTTTAACAGACCAGAAAAAGACACTAAAAACATTAGACGATCAAATCTATTTTTCCAAGTCTCCTTGATTAAAAATTAGTGTTTTTAACACAATGTGTGACAATCTAGATTGAAATTTAAAATACAATCTTGTTTTAAGCGAAAATGTTAAAAGTTGACATATGATATGTCAATCCATTCAGAGTGTCATTTTCTATCGAATGAAGTAAAAAAATACCGGAGGTGCCATTTGAAAATCAAAAGTTGTAGTCATTTCCAGTAAAACAGGAAATGACCGAAAAGAATTAAAAGCGTCAGTCAATCCTAATTTATGTCAGGTACTAACATACCAAATCTCGTTTTCTTATGTGAAAAAAAATAAAAAAGTTGTAGGGGTGAGCCACTTTTGAGACGCACTCGGTATATTACTCTAAAAACACTATAACGTGTTAAAATTGACTGTATTTAGATTTACATATATAGAATATAGAAATTTATTTTAAATTTAAATTTCTGCAAAATAAAACACTAAGGCACCACAATACACCAAAACACTTTTAATTTTATAGTGTACTTACTTCTTTTTTGCAGTTTTAATCATCTGCTGATTATCCTAACACGGTTAGCGAAACGCGCGTCCAGTGTAAAAGTAAGTGTTTTGGTGTATTGTGGTGATTTAGTGTTTTACTTTGCTGTTGTAACACCAAAGGTTCCAACCCCCAACTGTAATTTGAAGCTCTCTTAAAATTTTAAAATGGTAATCTATTCATAATTTTTAATTGAAAATACTGTATCGTCTCTAAAATTACTCTTCCTAAAATACGCTATGGTTATTATATACAGAGTGGGTACGGGTACAAGACTAGATATTTTATTTTTCTGAAATATTAAAAAATAACACAGTTACATTCCAAAAAAGTTATACAAAGCTTTATAACAACAATATACTAGATCTCCTGTATATACACAGTATCAATAAATTTCGTTGATTTTCACTTTCTCCAGTTGATTTTTATGAATACATTTTATAAATACTTGATTTGAAAAAAATCCTTTTATTTTTTCATTAATCTAAAATACGATTGAAAAAAATCAGCGTCGGAGATGGCTTGGAAATGAAAATCGCTGTCATTTTATATATAAAATTATAATGGAAATGTTCGATCGTCATTTCCAAACCAACTGGACGCCGTTTTTTTATCATACGGTCCATTTTTGTTAGAATTCTGGTACAATATACCAGGTTATTTAAGGCTAAAAGACAGCATATAAATCACTTTCTCCGTAGTTATGCTGCCCCTGATAGCCCATCTTTGTATCAGGTGTCTTCATTGACCTTTGATCTGAGTACTAACTAATTGGCAGTTACTTATTTCGAATTGCGAGGATTATTTTGCAATAAGTTTAAAATATTTAAGTATGTCTCACGTTTAAATTTTTTTATAAATACGATTTACCCTATTCATTTTCATATGATTTATGTAGGAAATAGCTGAAATTAATTGCTATGATGTAAATTCCAGAAGAGGAAAACCAGAAGTAAATGAATGCCGCTCGAAAAATATGTTACAGTTTATTTTTATCTCGGTTATGTAAGAAGGAAGTTCTTTATAGGCAGGAAATAAATAGCCAATTTTACTTAGAGATTTAGTGATATAAAGTTATTATATTTATGATTAATGAATCTTAACAGTGAACGCGCTTGCAGAAAATTATAATCGCATCGTTAAAAAATGTCTATACCTCTGTCGCGGATTCATCCCTTCAAAAAAGTCCTATGTGTATTTGGCCACTTACACTGTAAGAAAATCTACAAAATAAAATAGATATTTTTTGACCAACTTGTCAGCAAGCAGTGATTTAGTATTAAACAAATTTGCCTAACATAAAAAAATGCTTAATGTTTGGGGAAGTATATCTCTTCCCATCGTCACGTCCCACAGTGGGGTATTTGACACAGATAGTTGATCGAAATTTTTTTATGTAGATCTTATATAAATTATTGCTATTTTCAATTAAAGAGGAAATAATATGAACAAAATAAAGGATAATTTGTCGATTCTAAAAAAGAAAGAAAAATCACTGTTCCAGTGTTTCCACGGTCAATGCCACTAATGCCAGTAGTAATATCGCAACTAATACTATTAATGCTACGACTGATCCGCGAGCAATGCCCATCCCACTAAAGTCGCTACTAATGCCAAATTGTGTTATACTGCTAATGGCACTAATGCGATCGCTTTGTACACAACAATGCCATCGCGGTTTACACCTCGCATTAGTATATCACTGATTGGCAAATTAGAGGAAACCAAGAATGTTTTTCTCATTTTATCAGCAAAGTCGCAAAAAGTCGCAGTATTTTATTTTACTGTATGAAAGCCCAATGTTCACTAAGTAAAACGTATATAGACAATATGCTGAATTCTTCGAAATGCGCAACTAAATATCTGAGTATAATAAAAATGTCACAAATTTAATCAAATTTTCTGAACGCCTAACTTTTAGTTGCAAAAAAAATCGTTAGTATAGAGAATATCAAAATAAATAATACGTTTTTGTAGAATACGTACCTGCAGCTTGCTGATCCATTTTCAATCAAAACAATAATATAAACGTAAAAAGAGCACAAGAACAACAACAATTTATAATTTTAAACATAAAATTTAGCCATTTACCTCTTATCTGTGAGAAGTAACAACTTTGACGTTTCGTTGAACCAAATGAATGCAACTAAACACACCCATACAAATGTCATTCATGGCAGACATGATTTAACTTATCATTTATCTATTTTTGGGAAATCTTAAACACATTTGCTTTTTCGAATTTCGATCACCTTTTTCATGCTAATACCCCACCGTGCGTCCGTCGGAAGCAAAAAAACACAAAGAACAAATAAAAAACTATCTAAAATACCTAAATTCAAAAACACTTTAGATTTTTTAAACAGATACGTCTACAAGAAACCGTTCACGTTCTGCTAAAACGGCATTATATCAAGTTAACCTTCAAAAGTAACAATTACTACCTGATAACAATTACTTAATGAGGTAAAACCAAAAAGCCTCAAACTTTCTGTATATGATTATACTTATAATTATTTTTGATTTTAATGAACATAATATAAATAACATAACATGTATCAGATTGAGCTAGTCCAGGAAGTCATATGTCCTATCAAAAGAACTAGTATTGTAACCTTATTCTTGCTAAGCATTAGCGGCTCCTTTGTAATTTTACAATTAGATCCTGGCATGAAGGCCTCGCTATGCCTATGCCCCTGTCTATTTCTCCAATTTGTTTTTCAAGGAATTTTCAAGCTTAAAGCTCTGTGTCCAGCTAAAGTGTTATATTAGATAAAAATCACAGAGACATCAGATATATTTAATGCAAGAATAATTTTAAGAAACATTTAACACTGAAATTAGAATATTTCATTTTTTTTTTCAAAAATTATATTTTTTTTTTCTTGTTTCAGTCGACGGCCAGAAACAATACGGAGATTGATGCCGAGATAAATGGCGCTCCCAAACCAAAGTTCGTTGCTGTAACCACTTTGGAAGATGTCCAAGCTGTCCGGTGCGCGGAGTTCCATCCCGGTGGTCAACTATACGCTGTCGGATCCAACTCCAAAACTCTACGGATATGTGGTTATCCGAAACTTACAGACCTCAGGTAAGAGTCATCTTCTCTAAGTGCCTTAGCAATTATTGCACAAACAGTAGTAATCATAATAAGCTGTCAAAAGCTTTTCAGTTCCTGCCTAGATAAATCAAATGTTATTTGTTTGGTCTTTAATATCTTTAACCTGATCAAAAAAAATTCGTCAAAGACGGCTGAGGAATGACCATCGACGATAATTTTGGTGAGATCAATCTAGTCGTTATTTACTAAAAATTTACATAAAATTTGTCAAAAATTAACACTAGTTATAGAAAGATTAAAAAAGGATTGAACGTTTCCAGACACATAAATTTATTTCCAAAAAAAAATATATTTTCTGGAACTTCAATCTACGCCTTTTAAAATAATTTTTACGTGATATAAAAATAAATGACAACCTTCTTAAGGCCAATTGGCAATAAGGAAAATAAAGTCCTCCTACTCTGGGTGCCTGCTCACCAAGGGATTGAAAGATCGCGCACACTATACCTACACGGACCAGTACGGACCAGCACAGCACAAACCTGCATCCTGCATGACATCGCACACTTTACCGCCACAGACCAGCAACATAAGCGAGAGTTTCGAAAAAAGTACAGTTGTCAAGGCTCAACTACTAGAGCGTGCAACATAGAAGTATTGAAAATGAGTAGTTCAGAGGAAGAAATTATTATTTTAGCCATGTTGTGTGAAGAAGAGGAGGAAGAGAAGGAAGCTAAGAAAAAAAGAAGATTTTGGGTTCACCCTATAAATCAAAAGAGAAAGCAATATGGCGAATTTCATTATTTGTTTCCTGAATTAAAAAGATTCGAAGAAAAGTTTTTCCAATATTTTCGAATGTCACAAATCAAATTTAATTATTTTTTTTTGCTATCGACTCCCATATTGCATCTTTTCTTTCTTGGTCTCTATATATAAAATGCTTGGCTCGTATCGCACAGCTCTGAATACTTTTGTACCAGTAAAATAAGCTTTTTTTCATTCATATTTAAAACGATTTAAAGGTTCGAACAAAAATAAACGAAATCTAACCTACATCATGCAACTTGAGCCAGCTAGCGTACTCGAAATACTGACAAACCCTTCAATATTTGCATGTTTGTGGAGGTTGCTGGTTCGCCGGTGCGCATATTAGGTCGGACCAGCACGACCAGGCATAAATATTGCCGGTCATATTTGTCCCTGACCGACACGACCTGTTTTGACGGTCGTGGCTTGTGGCAGTACGTGCTGGTACTGGTCTAGTGTGCTCTACTCTATTAAATAACACGGTCACCTTCACCGGTACATTTTACGGGTCTGGTCCGTGCCGGCCCGTGCAGGTATAGTGTGCGCGATCTTTGAAGGCAATGAGAAGCAAGTGATAGAAACGGAACGAACACTCCACTAACTGGACCAGAACCGTTCTGTTTTCCAAACGGGAACCAACTGAAAGCGCTACTTATGAATCTGGGAGACTCCATCCGTAACTTGGAATGGGTGTCCTCCAACGGTCTAAGACACTCGAAAAAGTTCCTCAGAACTTACGACCGGGAAAAATCAAAGGTTTTCCTTGATTTAAGTAAAAACAGTCTTTGGATTGTCACAGAGTTTCTAACAGGACACTGTCTCCTCAACGAACACTTCAGTAGGCTGAAGCTGAGAAACAACGGCGAATGCAGATTCTGTGAGGAAAATGGGGAAACACCAGAACACCTTATCACTGAGTGCGCCGAGACGGTGGACCATTCGTGCCATGAACGTAAGATCTGTAAGGTCGCGGTGATTAACTCCCCTCCAAAACATTCTACATTCTACAAGGTCAATTGGCAGTAAGCGCCTTTAAAAAATAAAGAAGATTATGGGCCAAGTAATTGACGAGTAGAGCTTGACCTCGCCAAAATTAACATCGATTGTCATTCCCAGCTGTCTTTGACGCCGTTTTTTCGATGGTATGGTACTAATTTCAATTTATAAATATTCCCTAAATGTTTTATTAGTACATCTTTAATAGCTTAGGTCACTTTGTATGTTATAAAAACATTCTATAATAAAGCTTGATTAAATTATTTTTTTAATGCAGCTATTTGCCTATTCCACAGTAGCCTTTACAGATTTGTTGTGGTTCTCCTCTGATCTCTCGCTTGTATTCTCCAATAGTATACTTTTCAGAAGTTTAATAATTTGGAGACTGGACATCGCCACAGAACATTTGACATTGAATGTATTTTGCCATTTCTTCTTCTGAATTCTCAATTTCGCCAAAATTCTAAATTTTGAATGTTCTACTATGATTTTTGAACTGTCCTACCAACCTCTATTCTAATGAATTTTTCACTCCCATTGTCAACACTTAGTAATATTACTGAGGTAATTTGACATTTTGTCATCTATTAAACAGGAATATATTAACTTTTAAAGTGATTCATAGGTTTATTATTATTTCGCAGTCTCACTCAATCATGCGTGTTTTACTTTCTCTTTTCTAAGGACTTTTAATTTAAATTTCAGGGAGGACCATGAGACCTACCAACCAATGGTGCTGTTCAAACGCACCAAGCACCACAAAGGCTCCATCTATTGCCTGGCCTGGTCACCGGTTGGTGACTTGATGGCTACCGGGTCTAACGACAAGACTGTTAAGCTGATGCGTTTCAATGCCGACACCTCCAACTTAGAAGGAGAAGAGGTAAGTTTGAATTTAGACTATTTTAACAAGAGATGCTTCCCTCTATGACGTATATTTTGTTAAAATTTAGAATAACTCTGGGTACAACTATGATTAAATACTAGCTGGTTATTTTTTGAAATGGGAAGTATAATTTAATTAAATTTATCTATTGTGTTTTACAGATCGAATTGACGATGCATGATGGTACCGTTAGGGATATATGTTTCTTAGAAGATACCACGAACAAGTCCAGTTTGCTGATCAGCGGTGGAGCTGGAGATTGTAAAATATACGTAACAGACTGTGCTACCGGCACACCTTTCCAAGCTTTAAGCGGACACACTGGTCATATTTTGTCATTGTACACATGGGGAGGTAATTTTTTTTAATTATATATTTGAAAAATCTAGCCCAGTAAATTTCGTGAAAAATCCAATGAACAAAGAAATAAAGTATATTCAATTAAGAAGTAATATAAATTATATTTCAAAGACTTTATAATTTGTTTTCAATTCTTAGCAAAATAGTATTCAGGCTGTCCCTAGTTCAGATTGTATTAGAAACTTCTAGAAAACTACAATTACTATATTGGGAACTTTTTCTTATGGATTTAATTTCCTTATAAAATTTGCCTAGAATTCGCCGTTTTTGAGAAAAGAGTATTTCAAATATTTGAATCCGAAAATTGTTTTAAAGTTTTTGCTTTATTTAAGGTTTTCGTTTAGAATGTAGTTAATTAAATGTGAAGATAAAACGAAAAATAAATTTTTGTTTTATCTAGTAACTGTCAAAAAAATTTCAAACTATACCGGGTGCGTGTCAAAAGTGGCTCACCCCTATAACTTTTTTATTTTTTCATTTTACACTTTCATATAAAGAAACGAGATTTGATATGTTAGTATATGACATAAATTAGGATTGATTGACGTATTCAATTGTTTTCGGTCACTTCCTGTTTCACCGGAAGTGACTACAACTTTTGATTTAAAAAAAATTAATCAATAAAAAATGTTTTTAACGATTTTACCAAATTATTCGTAAAAAAATGATTTTTCCAAATATGCTAATGAGCCACCCTCGTTCCATTTGAAAAAAATTGAGATATGATTAAAAATACGATTTGAGCATTTTCTAACTGGCCAGGATAAGACACTAAAAACATTAGACGATCCAATCTATTTTTCCAAGGCTCCTTGATTAAAAATTAGGGTTTTTAACATAGTCATGGCACTCTAGATTGAAATTTAAAATACATTTTTTTATTAAGCAAGAATGTCAAAAGTTGACATATGATATGTCATTCTATTCAGAAAGTCATTTTCTATCGAATAAAATAAAAAAAATACCTAGAGTGCCATTTAAAAATCAAAAGTTATAGTCATTTCCGGTGAAACAGGAAGTGACCAAAAACAATTGAATAAGTCAATCAATCCTGATTTATGTGATATACTAACGTACCAAGTTTCGTTACTTTATCTGAAAAAATAAAAAAGTTATAGGGGTGAGCCACTTTTGAGACGCACCCGGTATATCTATGTCAAACTTTGAATGTTCAGTTTCGGTATTGAAGTACCATATGATCTAAAAAACGGCGTCCAGTTGGCTTGGAAACGACAATCGATGACATTCCCCATATAATTTTACATATAAAATGACAGCTATGTTCATTTCATAGCCATCGACGACGTCGTTTTTTTCTATCATATTGTGTTTTTAGCGACTATTGTATTATTAATACAATATGATCGAAAAAAAAAACGGCGTCAGTGGCTTGTAAATGAAGATCATTGTCATTTTATATGTAAAATTATATGGGGTATGTCGTCGATCATTATTTACAAGCCTACTGGACGCTCTTTTTCTAGATCAAATTTCATGGAAAATATAGTATCTATAAGGAAGCTATCAAACAGATATTTTCTTTTTTCTTTTGAATATTTTTAGTTCTCTAGAAACTTCTTGTTTCTTGTGTCCTCAGCCAGGGTACTCTGCATATGCCCACGTTGTATAACATGGACAATATGGATTATTTATTTCGTATAACAAATATGTTTGTTTCATTTTAGGTGCGATGTTTGTCAGTGGCTCCCACGACAAGACAGTCCGATTCTGGGACCTGAGGACGCGCGGCTGCGTCAACATGGTCACCCCAGTGACGCAACCGGGCACACGACAAGGCTCCCCAGTAGCCAGCCTCTGCGTGGACCCCAGCGGCCGTCTGCTGGTTTCTGGACACGAGGACTCTTCCTGCGTCCTGTACGATATACGCGGAGGCCGCAACGTGCAGTGCTTCAAACCGCACTCGGCCGATATACGGAGTATACGGTTCTCGCCGTCTGCCTACTACCTCCTCAGCGGCGGGTACGATAACAAGCTGGTCTTGACTGATTTACAAGGTACAGCCACTATAAATTATTTGGAAATTTATTATTAAATACTTTTCAAACTAAATTGGATACATTTGCAAACCAATATATATTTTATGTACAGGGTGTCCCACTAAGAATAGCTCTCGGCTTTATCTAGGAAAGTATTAGCCGTAGGGCTTACGGAAAAAATATTTATCACTATAGAGACTATTAGAGATTGCTGGAAATTACTTTCAAGTTTGTAAGAACTTTTTGTAGGACGGCCGCTAGAGGACGCAACTGCTATAAAAAATATGAAAAAGGAGTTTTTACACAATTTTGCCTAGATAACGGGTACTATAAATAATAACTTCATAATCTTCAGTAAATTTTGAATATTTTTTGTTAGAACCATTTTGCCCTATCTGCCGCAATAAGGTGGTGGGGGATATTAATACACCTAGTATTATGGTATCTAGTATATTGTCGATTTTTTGAATAAAATAATCTTTTTTGTCTTATTTTTTACTCAAGGTTGTGAAGCTATTATTTATAGTACACCTTATCTAGACAAAACTTCGTAAAAATTCCATTTTCTTATTTTCTATAGCAGTTGCGCCCTCTAGCGGCCGTTCTACTAACTTGAAAATAATTTTCAGCAATTTCTCATGGTCTCTTTTGGTATAAATATTTTTTTTCCGCAGGTTCTACGGCTAATACTTTCCGAGATACAACCGAGAGCTATTCTAAGTGGGACACCCTGTATAGTAATCCATCTAGAGATGGATGTTTCTAGAACTTCTAGAATCAGCAGGACAGTAAAAGTTCAGCACAGTCTTGTTGAAATGAAATCATTGTCTGCTATGTTCAAACAAGAAATAATTACTAATAATAATTTCTTCTTTTTTTCAGGAGATCTGACTCTACCTTTACCCAGCGTAGTGGTAGCCCAGCACAGCGACAAAGTTATCTCCGGACGTTGGCATCCCAGTGAATTCTCATTCTTGTCTACGTCAGCCGACAAAACAGCCACTCTGTGGGCCTTGCCACCCATCTAACCGTCAACAGATGAACCGCCTCAAGTCTGAACTAACCGGAAGGCATTTTAAAAATAAAACAGCAACTAAACTGTAGAAATACCATTACAAAACTTGATCAATATTCGAATAGTTTCCTTGAATAAATAAAGATAGCCTGATCAGTTTTATTAATATACAGTACAATTATTTCTCGCGTCTAGTTGTGTCGCTATTTTTGAATGTCTGCAATACTAATCAATACTCATTTTTCACGTAAATAAAATATTAAATCAATCGCCCCTATATTTATAGAGAAAATCCTTATAACATTTACATACGAAAAAATCAATTTAATAAATTTAACTAGCCTTCTCATACACAAAAAAAATATTTATATAACAAATAATTTGTAATAATGTACATACTATTATTATATTTAATGATTTTTTTATTGTTTTTATTTCGAGCAATGTATTATATAAAAAAAAAGAATGTTTAAGATGATTCTTGATACTGACACGCTACTGAATGTTGTGTTAATGTTAGCCAATATTTACAGTTTATTAATAATTTACCGAATAAAAATAGTTAACGTCAGTTATGCAAGTTTGTATTATTAATATCAAATAAAAATATATAATATAAGTATGTAGTTTTTTTCCCAAAATAATTATCTGAAGTTTCCCAGTTTTACTATACTAGTTTCTTTAGTGTTTCTTTAGATTCTGCTTGAAACAGATAGGTAGATAGAACCATTACCTTCGTAAGAAGAAAGCCTAAAAGCTTAGGCGTGACGTTTCTTGAAAGATCTCTTTATAATATGCAAAATATTTTGATGATGCAAAGTATTTTCCTGCGAACTTAACAATATCGATATGGAATATAATGTTAGAGCATCCGCACATGGGTCGTCTGGCTTTCGAAACGGAAGCGCCTCGAACTCCGAGCGAATCTCCTTACACTCTACCTTCGTACGTAAATAATAGTATTAGTCACATTGACTCCGCGTCGACCGCCAAACGACCCGTTCGAGGACCTACTATCATTTACATAGGAAGTAGAGTAGAGGGAGATTCGTTCCAAGTTCGAGACGCTACCGCTTCGAGTTTGCGACGACCCGTGTGTTCACGTTCTTATAGTGTATCAACATATTTATTTATTTATTGATAGTAATTAACTGATCCTGTCATCATTCTTAAGAATAAAGCCAGAAAATAGATGTATTAGCGCACTACAGAAAATTGTTATGAGTAAGAACATCTCTAGAAGCTTAAAAATCAGAATGTACCAAACAGTGATAAGACCAATAGTGCTGTATGCATATGAAAGGTGGACGTTCAATGCGACAGAAAATTCGAGGCTAGAAATTTGGGAGAGAAAAATACTGAGGAAGATTTTAGGAGGAAAGACGATAGACAACATATGGACCAGAAGAACAAATGAAGAATTAGAACAACTATATGAGATGGCTGGAACACATTGAAAGAATGGCTGAATCAAGAGTTCCTAGAATGATAATGAGACGTGAAATAGGTAGAAAGAGAAGGAGGGCTAGACCGAGAACCAAATGGAAGAAGGATGCAGAAGAGGACTTGGGAAGGATAAGAGTGGATGGATGGAGAATAAAGGCGAAACACAGAAATAAGTAGAGAAAGATAATTAATCAAGCCATGAGCCTTTTAGGGTTTTAGATCTACTGTGTATAATTAACTGAACAAAGACTGGAGTTCAAAATTTATTAGTGTTATCATTTTAAAAAATCCAATATATATCTATATGACATGGTCTACAGAGTTTTCTCACTGTTTGTGACAAACAAATCTGAAACAACGGGGCAACGCCAACGGTAAAAAATATCCAGGATAAAAGGTATCCAGAGGCGTGCCGTTTTTAATTAAAGTATATTTTGACTTTATAATATTTTCCAGTAAACTTTATAACTTTGATTTAATTTTCTAACTTAGTAATATTTGTTAAAAGCGTGTACTAATTAGAATATGCCCAAATAGAGCTATAATACAATATACAATACCGCCACTGGATATTTCAATGCTAGTGAATATTTTCATTTTCACTATTTCAAAGGAGTTTCATAAACTTGGGGGTAGCACTGGCTAATAAGAAAACATTATGCGCATGGTAACCGCTTCGCAACGAAACGTGGTAGAATTTTCACCAATCAGGTTGGTTGAATACGGGATGTCATGATATATTTTCCTGATGTTGCCGGCTTGCTCGAAGCGGATGATACCTTTAGGAAAAAATGCTTTTTTATAAAAAGACAGAACGAAGGAAAGAGAACTACTCAGAGAACTACGTTGAAATACTAAGCATATAAATATCGGCATGCTTGAGTGAACTAAAAATACATTTAAAGGGAATATCGTGCAATTTTTGTTTTGTATTGTTTAACTTGATAAATAAATGTTTTATCGGCATTCTTTTCGCTGTTTCAGATAATACATTATATTTTTTAAATCGGATTATTTTGGTAATTATACGCAGTTAAAAATTATAATTTTTTTAAACTTTATCGGTATTTAGAATAATACGTTTATTTATCTGTAGTCTAGACGTTATATTATGTTGATTTAATTTCCTATGGTAAAATTTTCATTGTTGTAATTTTAAAGCCAGTGACCGATCCGTATTTTCACAACATTAATCTTAAGTCTGGATCCTAATCTTAATTCTGTTTTGAAGGTATGAGAAAATATATTTTAGGATTAATAATATATAATTTAAGTAATTTATTGATGTAAATTAATTTTGCTAAATATTAATTTACTATATTAAAAATTACCACCAAATCTAAAAAAAAGAATATTATGAAACTATTTAAAATGTACAAATGTTACTATTTCGAGAAAACTTTAGTAGTTTAAATTGGCATTTCTAGAATAGTTACAAATTCACCAGGGTAGAGACAGGCAAAAAAGTTCATAGTAGAAGTATTCGCAGAATGGCAGACCTGATAAGCAAAGACAAAGAGGGAGTCAAAGCTGTAGTAGATGAGGGCGGCATATCTAAAGTTGACAGCTAAAGTAATGTGCAGATTTTGTCAATCTGAAGAAGAAAAGATAGAACACATTTCATGTCGGTGCGACAGCCTCGAAAATGTGTTGTTCTAGTCATTGTACTAGGCAATGATAGGATGATAGGTCACTGACAAAGGACTTTATGAAGAGTTCAATCTAGAAGGTCCTAAACTTTTTAAAAAGGATAGGACTGGAGAATATAATCTAAGATTCGGTAGAGGACCACAATAGATATGAAGACGTCGCAGTGAAACAGGGCTATGGCAGGCCATAAACAGGGCGATAACTATACCAAAGATCTAATATGTTACCTAATCTAAAATAAACGGGTTCTGTATTCTCGATCAGTACCAAAATTCGGTTACAGTCTAACAGTCTTAGTCTATGGGTAATTCCATTAAACTTACAATATTTTACAAAGGAAGTAGGTAAATTATAAAACAAACGATTTAAAAAACTAACTAATTTTAACCCAGGTTTTCAAACTGTACTTCTTCATTGTCCTAATACAATGAAATAGATAATGAGTAAATATTAGTATTGCTTTTTATTGAATAAACTATTTCTTTGCCATTATTCATGGTCTTAATAGCATCCCGCCAAAATAAACAGAAAACTGTAACTTAATTTATGTTTCAACCAGACCCCAACAGATGGAGACGCTTGTACTTAAATACCATATTAAATACCCTATCCGACGAAGCAAACAAGTTCAACCATCTGTCACAAATACCATTGTACCTCGCCACGGACCCGAGCGGCAATTATAACCGCTACAATACACAATATCAATCGCCAATCCAACAAAACAGAGACAGTCCAGCTATTCACCTCTGAAAAGACGCATTTTTCAGCTTATTCTGGGCCCAAATCTTTTTTTTTCAGAATCTAGAGAGAAGGGACTTAAGGTTTTATGCTTTGGGACTTCGGTGCGACGAACAGACATACGATAGTCAGAAATTTTTAGTGTCGTACCGTTGTAGCGTTCTGTATGGTACTCCCGTGGTGTGCGCTGACTTTTCTAGTTCGTACTCGGCGTACCAGAACTATTTATACCGTGGAATACGGCCCAGCAGGCGGGCGGGTTCAGTTAAAAGATTTGTTTAGTTATTCGCGGTAGTTTCACGGTGACGGTTGACCGCGAAATCGTCACAGCCGGCGAAGCGTTGTGAGTCCCGCACGCCAGATCCGATGCCCATCGATTTCTCCACCTCGCCTCTGTTTTTCTGGGTAAGACGAGCAAGTGTGTTGGTGTGTGTGTTGTTTGATTTGATTTGGCACGAGGCCGGTAGAGTGTGCACCGGTCGGTACTGTTTGCCGGTACCGGTACTTTTATTTTTGTTTATTTACATTCGATACTGATGGTATACGTTGGAAAGGTTAATGCGATCAAAATATTATGTCAAATTATCTAATCTATTCGGTATGCAAATATCGATAAAGAGTTAATTTATTGCTACATGGGTACACAACAATAAAAGCATTCATAGCAATTAGGCATACCTTTGGAGTCTAGTAATTATACTGACTTGCAAGTCTTGTTAAATTTAAATACTGATACGTGAGGAATAAAAAAAGTCTTATTTTTTTCTGTAAATTGACTTAAAAAATAAATCATAATATACAGGGAGGCGCCTCTCATACGACGCGGAGGCTCCAAGGAGAATGGTAGTTTATATCGAAATGAAATTTTGGGAGCATAGGTAGATTAATTGACAGCATTTTTGAAAAATGTATAGAGTTCCATAAGGTGTTTCCAAAAAAAGTTAACATCGAAGTTGAGTTTTTTTGTAATGGAACACCCTATACTAATTGATTTTGGGATTGTAGAGAAAAATAAAAGTAAATAAAAAATAGAGAAAATGTTTTTTTGACATATTTCACATTTTGTGAAAATGAAGAATAAATTTTAAATTTCAATAACAGCTACCTACATTTGTAATTTACCCTGTGTAGCCTGATATTAAGTTAAAATAACCATTGTATGTTAAACCAAATTAAAATTTGACCCGAAAAGTTATACAGGGTGACACAAAATTAATATTCAACATTTTTGTCACTTAAAAGCAAGTTACTCTTTTTTTTTAATGGAGCACCCAGTATATTATTCCGCTATTCAATGGAGAGTTCATATATCTTCAAAATATTATTAAGCTTACCTACCACTTTGACAAAGATATTATTAGATATTTTAATTTTTATCATTTTGCGTCAGTAGATCTTTATTATTTGATCAAATCTAGAATCTAGGTGGCTTTGGCTTGTGACCTTTTTAACAAAAATTAAAGGACGTAGAGGAAATTAAGATAATAAAAGGATACCTACACGTTTAAAACATATTTTAATTATTACAGAATTAAAACTAGATATAAATGTATAATTATCTGACAAAAATTAGCTAGATAAAGATGAAATCAAATGGCTCAAAATGCTTCTTTTCCTGATCACTGCATAAAATAGGGCTCTTTTCAAAAGATCTTTTCATGTTAAGAGTTCTACTTCGAAAAGACTGTGGCTGAGTCATTTCACTCATGTTGGCGACAATACTTGGTCGAGTTTTGTAAACACTGTCTTCAACATATCCCCCCAAAAAGTCCAGACTAGGTAAATCAGGTGCATTTAAGCTTTTTATTAATTGGTGAATGCAGACTGCAATCAGCAATTAATAGAACTATATCAGTTCTCAGATATAAAATAAGTTTCCATTTTCAGCAAATTTTTTAGATTTTATTTTGTTTTAACTAACACAAAATGATAACTAATTGTTAAAGTTGAACTAATTTAATAGCTATGTATATTGAAGTAACGCCAGGCATATCATATCAAATATTGATTTATAATTTTATTAGAAAAAATCGAGATTTGTTTATTAATAAATATTGTTAATAGATTTAATTTCAGGATTGGATATATTTGAATAGTTAATATTTTTTTAACAAAATGTTATTCAATATATTATATAAATAACAATGATATATACTTAGCAATAATATAACTGTTCTATTTATGGAACAAACAATTAAAAAACAATAACTTTTCAAAATATTGGCTTGAATAACAGCTTGAATATTAATTTATCATTATTCAAATAGATATACCAAGCCGAAGGGGATCCTGTGATTGTAATAACCGCGATAATTTTATGTAGTTTCCTTTTCCTTATCTGTATTTCTGAATCACAATATTATAAATAAAATATTCTTAATATTCAATACTAATTCATAGTGGGTGACAAAATATTTCTTTTTGCTTTAACAATTTCATAAAAATAAAACTTAAATTAGAGTTTCTGTCTTTGTCAAATGATGTATGAAAAATATCTGCATAAAGAAAAATATATTCGTGCCTATACTTAATTCCTTAGAGTTAAATAATACTGTAATCAATTCATAACTTTAACAATTTGCTGTATTACTATTCAAAGAAGCAAACAAATATTTCTAAGGGAAGACCTTCAGAAGCCTGCTGGTTCAAGCTCGCACAGTTATAATTAAATGAATAGAAGACCGCAACTTGTAACTTGATCTATTTAAAGACCGCCACCGTTTAGGGAAATTGTGAAATTTTCCAGCTATATTTCGAAAATCAGGCCTAAAATCGTCTTATACAGGATGATTCGGTGTTTTTTCCCTCTAATCATTGGTAGCGCGATAGTAAAGCGAAACCTTAAAAATCAGAGTGCTTTAAATATATTTTCACACTATTGTAGTTTTTAAATGGATGCTGTATATTATTTCACTTGGAGGATTTGTTATGAAATTCACATTTAGTTGTTTTTGAACTACGAGTATGACTATTTTTAAATTAAATTTTCTACATATTTAAATCTCTTTCTAAGTTAATAAACCTTTCTAAATAAATCGCTTATTATTGATGCATTTTAAATAAAGTAATTTAAGAATATGTAGTTTCTTCTTAGTAACTCCACAAAAGAAGTGATACGGGTGGTGCGTTTTAATAATAAGTCCATCTTTTTTTACAATGAATAAAATTCTGAATTTTTTTACAATGAATAAAATAACGTTTAGTAAGTAGTTTTATAGTAGCAGTTTACTAGGCGGTTACAGAGCGATAACCACGCGGCTACGTAGCAGAATAGTAGCTGCTGCTACCTTGTGACATCATAGTAACGAAATGATAGTACAACATTAATCAGTGGGACCATCCGTTACACTCTTAGGTTACACTACCCGGTTACTCAATTTTTTCCTAGCTGATACGTAGCGATGACGTAGCTGCAGATTGTAGCGGTTACCTTGGTGGTCGCTATTGTTGTAGTTCCCGGAACGTTCCCGCGACTATATGTGTTGCTTGGGACTCTTGGGAGACTAACGTTACGAGACTTGTTACGCTCTTTAACTCTAATTCTAATATCCTATATTTATAATATACTGTTCTATTTTCTAAATATTGCAACAAATCACTGTTCAAATCTTAATTAGTCGTTGAGTACGTAACGTGATGATGGCAACCGTTAGACCGATATGTCCCCACAGAAAAAAAAACTATAATTAAACATCAGACAATATCCCCTGCCAAAACAATTGGCTTGAACGCCGTAAAAATCTGAAGCAATTAATTTAATGGGTCGCCTATATTTAGAAGGTATTGCCTAAACATGGAATTCGGGTATAGTAGTTAATGAATAGATGAATATTATAATTATTATAATCGTTCTATTTTTCGTTTAATTTAAGTAACGAATTTTCGGCTAATAGTTTTTTTTACTTTTTGTCGAATTTACCTCAATTTCTATTAATATCCGATATGGTTACTGCATTTCATTTTCTAGAAACTAAATATCTATACAGCAAATTCAAAACTCCATTTGGCTTGGGCTCAATACTCAATGTAATAAATAAATAATCTTTAATATCTTAATTTTTCAATTCCCCGCCAGCATTCATGAGACACAGGACACGAAGCAAAATAAAACAATGCAATATATCCTACATTTTTAAGGATAATATTTGACATTTTCTAAAAATAAAGAATATACTTTAAATTTCAATAAAATCTACGTAAATTGTAATTTTCCCTTCAATACAGACTGACGTTCTCCTATGAGAGGTGCCATCCTGTATATTTCAAACCTTCATAAAATATACCGTATGATCGAAAAAAACGGCTGGGAAGAGAGGTCATTTAAGAAATAGTGCCATGAAACTTATCAAAAATTAAGACACACTAGACACACGAATCTATTTTTCAGCATCCATAATCATTATACAGGGTTAATTGAGTGCAAATATTTTTAAAGCTAGTAGATCTTGATAAAAGAAACATATTTTCTCTTTACCGTTTTTCAAATAAGTAGAAAGTAACTGAAATATTTTACTTTTTTTTAAATTTCAAAAGAAATTATTTTTCGCCTACATTTTGAGAACCGCTTAATCTTTTCTGTTTTTTTTTTCTTGTAAATTTAATGTACTACCTATGTTGCTGTATTATAAAGATATTATGTTTTTTTGGAATTTTTTGAAAAAAAATTCAATTTTTTTTCAAAAAATTCCAAAAGAAACATTGCTGAATAATTAAAAAAAATTGCAAAAAAATTCATAGACGTATTTCTGGGGTGGAAATATACCACCCCTAAAAATATTTGCACTTATATAAGACTCGCCCTGTATATCTAAATATAAAATATACCTAATAGCAGTGGCCGAAGGGGCAATATACCTAATAGCACTGTTGTTGGTTAGGTAAATTTGTTTTCAATTATTATACAGGGTGTGCCAAAAATAAGTGCAAATATTTTAACTGGTAGTATATTTCGGCACTAGAAACAAGCCTATGAAGTTTTTTTGCGAAAAAAAATTTGAAAATTTTATATTTTTCTTGACATTTTCCAGGAAATTTAAAAAAACTTTTTAGTGCCACTTGTTTATTCACCTGAGGCGTCGAATAAGCTGAAAAACGCCAGCGATTCTCAAAATGTTGCCATTATTTTTTAAATTTTCAAAGTTAAATAACTCGGTTATTTTCAATTTATTTTAAAAATGGTAAAGAAAAAAAATGTTTCTTTTGACCAGATCTACCACCCCTTAAAATATCTGCACTTTAGAGATCTGCACGGGCCGGGTAGCCCGAACGGGCCTCAGGCCCGGCCCGGCCCGAACACGGGCCACGGGCTGGGCCGGTTTCGCACTGTCAATAGGGGTCGGGCCTCGGGCCGGGCCGGTTCCGCACTTTAAATAAACACAACTTTGCTTCTGTACATATTTTTGAGA